ATGGCATGAGGGTTATACAAGGTAGCATCAATAGTGCACTTGGAAGAATATGATTCTTGCTGCTAGGGGGCTGACACTAGAATCATTTCTGTCAACTGCTAGACTTGGGTCTGCTAAGCACTCCTTTGTAAAAAGTGTGAACTCTGAGGTGCTTGTGAAAACTGACTTCCCAACTTCATTTAAGATGAAGGCCTGGAGCTTGAGAGAATTTATTATGTGGTGTTGGCAGCCAAGCCTCTTTTTCATCTTCACATGGGTCTAAAACTACCTAACATCTTCTATGAGATCATGCATGACAGTTCGGTGCCAGAGATAAGAATGTTATAAGATGGTTGCCATCTTATAACTGTTGATAGCTGTTGGTTCCTGGGTTCCTTAATGAGCGGGACTTAATTTAGCTGAAGTGGTTAGTCAAGGTATGACTAATGCTGAGGTAATGATCTGATTAAAACGTAGCCGGCAGGATTCGAACCTGCGCGGGGAGACCCCAATGGATTTCAAGTCCATCGCCTTAACCACTCGGCCACGACTACCCATACCTGTTAGCTTCTTGTGAGTACCTTTGAATGATGATATGATTACATTCTATAATGGACCTGAAGGAAATCTGACGACTTAATTATTTTACCTTTTCCTTGCCTTACAAGAACTTCAAAAGACAATCTGAGCAGGGCTCTAGGTACAGGAGGTTAAGTAAGAGGGTTCAGCACACAGGATGCCTCTAAACTTGAGAGCTCTGCAACAAAGCAAAGTCTGTAGCACCAACATCCTGGATAAAAGGGAGGAGCAACTTCAGAAACAGTTTCCAGCTGAGGACATTCGACCCCTGTCTCCCCAACCCCATCGGAGACCGTGAAGACCACACTGAATCTCGATGGATAGTGCTCTTTCTAATCAAGCTTAGAGACTTGATTCAGTGAGACCAAAGAACTGTAGCTGTCTTAACAAGGAGTTTGGGAACTGTCATTGAGTCCTGGGAATAGAAGTGTTTTTGGGAAAGCACTCAGTATATTTAGGAAGGCTTTTCAAATCCAGTGGCAAACCTTTCATGTTAAGAGACTCGAACTCTATTTTCATTTGGAGCAGGAAGAAAGAGGAATTGCTCCCATAGTGCCCTGTGAGATGAGCTGAAGTTCCAACCTGCCATGCCTGTTAATGTGGCATCTTTGGAAACAGTCTTTGCCAAGGAAGCGGATGTATGATGAGGTGTCAGTAGATTGGCACTGGCCCAACATCAGTGGACTGGAGCCCCGAGAGAGGGAGTGTTGGAGGCAAACAGAAACACAGACATGCAGGGACAGAGGCCCTGCGAGAGGGAGACAGACTGGAGCTACCCACCAAGGAACATTCTGGGTCTTTGTCCATGCAGGAACGAGGGGCGAGTCACGACACACATTCTCCCTCATCGTCTCTAGAAAGATCCTACCTTGCCCTAGCCCACGACTCTGCGCCCAGGCCAGCGGCTGGCCTCTGGGTGGCACCTCCTCTGATCCAGTGGGGACCAAGTCTCCCTTCTCAGCGGTATCAGCTCTGCTCAGATGCTGGGCATCCACAGTGCCTTGCAGGCCCGTCCCCCTCCCAGGATATCCTGTTTCCATTTTCACTCCAGCATCGTCACCACAAGGCCACATCTCAGCAGTAAACCCCAGTCTGCAAGAGCAGGGCCGCTGTCTGCTTCCCGCCCAGTCCTGTGTCCAGCACACTTTCTCTCCTTTCTGGTTCCAGCTGGACTCGGTGCAGGCCGGGGTCACGCATGCTCCCTTTCAGGGACTGCGGCTTCTCAGTCACAGGTGGCCCTGGGGACAGGCAGGCCAGCGCTCTACAGGCACAAAGATCATTTCAGCTACTCCGGGTTTCGTCCCTCCTCCCATGAGCTGTACTTTTCTACTTTCTGATGTTCCAGGAGTCTGCCGGAGGAACAGCACAAGAGAGAGAGAGAAGAGAGGCCCCCGCTTGTGGATTCCACCTGGTCACTGCCAGAAAGGATCCGCGCCTGAATGCAGTTCATCCAGAGCTTCGATAGGCTACATACAGGCTATGTTGCTTCCAGGGTGGGTATTTTTGATTTAACATACACAGTGGTTACTAATATATACAGTGTTTGGTACGATCAGTGATGAATACAATTTGCCTTAAGTCCCATGCAGTTCATTTACTGATTGTTTCTGTGACCAGGCAGAGCCTGTCTGGCTTGCCCACTTGTTCTGTTCTCGTTGGAACTGTGATTTCTGACCGAGTCATCTTTGCCCACCGTCTAGAATGGGTCGCTAAGTGGAACTGCTTCTAAATTTTCTACTTCAGGAAGATGGAATGGTCTTGTTCTGGATTCTCTCTCACATTCCATTTTCCCTGATTTAGCCTCTACTCTTACATTAGTAACGCACACTTACTATAATTAATGAACAAATGTTTATACATTATTATTAAGTTCCAAAAACTATTCCAGGGTCCTTCCATTTGGCCTGATGGGTCGTTTTCCAATCGGGTCCTCTTCAGAATTCCACATGACAGGCTTGTCCGTCTGTCTCCTGCCATTCCTCTGCTTCCGGCCGTTTCTCTGTCTTTGTTGATCTGGAGGGTTCTGCAGATGTTTGCAAAATGTCCCCCATTCAGGCTTGGGTATTTTTCTCACAGCCAGGCCGGGTTTAAGGTTTTGGAGGAAGGACGCCCACAGTTGTCACGTGCTGCCATTTTGTGTCGAGTATCAGCTGTCACATGCAGAGTCCTGCTGCAGTCGGGAGGGTCTGTGGGTTCTGTCCACCTTTGCTCTTAGCACCGCAGAGCCCGCAGTTCTGGAGCCGGAGTTCGGTTCTCTGGCGCTCGCCTGCAGCGGGGACTCTTCCGGTCCAGGAGCCGGTGGCCGTCTTCACGTGCACCCATGGGCACGCTGCGTCTCCCCCAAATAGCTGTGTGCCCCTTTTATTTATTCTTATTTACTTCCAGGACATTCCAAGGGGCCACAGGTGAAAATAGAGTAAAAGGAATAGTGTAACAGAATGAGACAGGGGCGGGGGGCACAGGAAGGAGAGGGTCGGAAGGGGGCCACGGTGAGAAAAAGGTCAAGAAACTGAGCGGGTTCACACTGTGTGTTGTTCTTGTGTGGAAATGTGTAAGGACATTCGGAAACTTACCGAGCGCGACATCCTAGAATTAATAAGGTTATGGCAGTAGAAACACTTATCTTTCTAACAGAAAACCCACAGGACTTACAAGAGCCACTCACCTTCCGTTAGGGTGCACAATTAAAGCATGATAAACTAATACTTATATAATTATCAAGCCAACAATTATTTTTTTTATTGTCAGTGACCTAAATGTGTCACGAATGGTTCAGTGACACCACCACCACCACACACACACACACACACACACACACACAGAGGGTATCTACAGGCTAAATCCAATCCATTAAAGTGACACATCTACTAGTCCTTACCTATTTGACCAACTGCCGCAGAGCACGGAGACATTTTATGATAGGCCACTCTATTATTTTTAAACAAGTGCTTCTGAACAAAGCAATTAGATTCTAGCAGGGAAAAAAAATCACAGGTGCAATTAGGTTGGCTCAAACAAAGAAGCTTCATCCCAATTTCCCAGTTTTCTCAGACAGTAGCTCTGTTTAATTATACCGTAAAAAGTGTGAAAGCAAAAAAAAAAGTGTAAAGTTCCCTTTTCCACCCCTTTTCATTAATATTGGTAACCGAGGGCAAGGGAAACTTGCTCCAACAATTCCTCCTGGTTGTCCAGTATTTGAATTAACCAGGGCGGGCCTGCGCGCCTCAGCGTGCATTTACCTTCGGTCTCCACGAGGTGGCGCCTTCGCGGCAGGCGGGGGCGTTTCTCATCTGGGGATTCCTCCTGCCCCGATCGTGGGGGACCCACAGTGAGACGGTTTCGCCGCAGTTTACATGTCACTACCGTGAATTTGCAAGCACGCCCCTTGGGAGAAGACCGGGTGGGAGCAGTTCTCGAGACGCTGCGGGCGCCCCGCGCCGAGCAGCCTCGGGACACCTGCGCGCGGCCGAGACGCCAAGTGGCTCCCAAGCCGCGACCCCCGAGCAGCTGCCGCGCGCAGGGCAGGGGCTGTGGCAGGGGGGGTGACGGCCAGGCTGCAGTGGGCGGGGGGGGAAACACCCCGAACCCGAAACGGGCATGTGTCCTACGAGGGCTAGCACTGTCCTGCATCCCTCCGTGGGGTTCCATGGTGTAATGGTTAGCACTCTGGACTCTGAATCCAGCGATCCGAGTTCAAATCTCGGTGGAACCTGTAGCTTTTTAGGTGTTTTTTTTCTTCCCATCCTGCAGGTTTCTGCCTTAGGGATGATGGTTGGCAGCTAGTCCTTGGATCACAGGAACCCAGAGTGGTTCCCAGACGCTGGACCGGGACCCCGTTCCCGTCAGCCCCACGGGCTTCCTGCGTTAAGTCCAGGGCTAGGATCATCCCTCCTCCTTGTCGAATTTCTCACGTAATTGGTATTTCCGAGCCTTTGGAGTCAGTTGGGCTAAATTTTTCTGTTGCTCTACTGCTTTGTTCTGAGATGGAGCAAACTCACTTCATATATGCACAAAAGGATCCGGCAAAGCTGAGGGATCTCTATCTCTATAGCGAGTGCCTTGCTAGGGTTTTCGGCTGTGAGGGAGGAACTGCTGATGGATGTGATACTGTTCGGGCCAGAGACACTGAGACTTGGAAGTGCGTGTGAAGGAGGAGGACCAGCAGTTGTAGGTCCTTGTAGAGATTTGCAAGCATCTAGTATTTAAATTAAGGAGTTTCTTGATCTTGACCTCTCTCAGGTATGAGAAGCTGATGAGAACCTGATCAGGCCAGTCAACATCTTGGAGCATTTTCTTAGAGCTTGGGGAGAGCCTTGAAATTGGGCATTCCAGTGACAATAATCTGTACCTAGAACTGCTGCCTAGGATATAAACATGTTCCACAGAAAGAGTTTCAGATCATATCCTAGGATGTCACTGTAATTGTTTTATCTTCAGAAAAGAAAGATTTCTATTATAGAGAGTACTTTTTCTAACAAATTGTGAAGTTACAGCACCCTCCAGAAGTTAAGTCCATATGCTTTCCTTGGTTTCATCTTACCCATTTGTCTTTCTAAAAGTTGTATATTTTAATTTCAGTTACAGAGCACCTGATAAGCAACCTTATGGCTCTTTTACACACACACACACACACACACACACACACACACACACACACAGCTAAAAATAATTTTCTCTTGTTGCAGGAAGCCGCCTGTCATTCATTCTTGCGGCATTCATCCATTTGTGACAGCCTCAGTGATCCTGTGTGTCTGTGTATCTCATCCATCCATCCACCTTTCTTTGTCCGTAACTGAGTCATTGCGAATGACAACGTTATCCTTGAGTGAGTTTCAGGCAGAGAGTGCTCGAGCACCAATCCATTCACCAGTGTCCCCTTTCCTCCAACTGTGTCCCCAGTTTCCCTGACCCTTGCCAGCCTGCCTCTGTAGGAAACACCTTTTTCCTCTTGGCACTGTGTTTACAGTACTGTTTCGTCAGAAACTTTACCATTTTTCAGTACCTCCTCCTCCCGAGACACCTTCCTTTCACCAGAGTTCCACCTTTCCTGTCCTTGCTTGCATTTTTACTTTAAAGTCTTCTACAGAGACGAGTCCTCTTGGTGTTACTGTTCTTTTCCTGTTTTCTTCTAAGGATTTTGACCTCTTGATCTTGTGTTACCATTTTTTTCCATAGACATTTTGCATTCCGGTTTGATTTTGTGCCATTTTGGCCTGGAGAATCGTATTGCTGTCTTCCCTGGAATTTTATCTTCAGTTTCCTCACTATCACAGTCTTCCTCATCATATTCTATGGGAAAAAGGATTCTAATCATGTGAAGAGTATTCGAGATGAAAAACCCCCTTGTGAGAAGAGATAATTGGTCCCACTTACAAGCCTGACTCTCACATAGATAGCTGACTTAGTTTTCCAAAGTAAATTTCATTCAAAATTCTGAACAGTGATATTAATTGTTTAAGTAAATTAGACTCAGGCCTAGTGATAGTAATAAATAGATGTTTGGTCTCTGATCTTAATGTTGTAGACCAAGAAAGAAACACCAGGGTAAGTTAATTGATACACGTAAGTATACCTCATTACGTTTCAGCAACACTATAATTTCACAGCAAATGTCGTAGAAGCAGCAGTAGCAAGAAAAAACAATAATCCCATCAAAAATGGGGCGAAGAGATGAATAGACACTTGTCTGAAGACTGACAGATAGCCAGTAGATAGGTAGACTTATAAAGATATATATGTACATAATGTATGTGAAAAGTGTTCATCATCACTTAATGTCATTGAAATACAAATCAAAACAACAGTAAGATAAAAAAAAAATCTCATACTAGAGAAAATGCCTTAGATTAAAAAAAAAAAAAAGACTGGAAACAACCAGTGTTGGCAGGTATGCTGTGAAAAAGGACCTTCATTCACTGCTGGGAGGATTGTCTGGAAAACAATACGGAGGTTCTTCAAAAAAACAAGAACCAAGTTCCCATGTGACCCAGCGCTTCCACTTTCTGACATCTACCTCTAAAATAGAAAAACATGACTTTGGGGGTATAGTGCCACCAGCAGGTCAATCTGCACCTGTGAGGTGAGTGCATCATAAACCTGATGACGCCTTCAGAATTTCAGATATCCCAAAATTGCTGCTGTGCCTTTGGCCAGACCCCAAAATCTTGGGGCAAAGTTTACCAAAAGAGTAAATGGCCAGGGGTCGGAGTGATAGCACAGCAGGTAGGGCGGCCAATCTGGGTTCGATCCCCAGCATCCCATATGGTCCCCCAAGCACCCCAGGAGTAATTCCTGAGTGCAAAGCCAGGAGTAACCCCTGAGCACTGCTGGGTGTGACCTCAAAAAGAAAAAAAAAGTAAATGGCCAAAAGTTAGGTATGTGGGAGACACAACCACAAACCACCTCTGGCTCAGCTATATAATTGGAGGCATGGCCTCTCTGGTTCCTGATCGAACTGCTTAATGGCCATGATCCCAGAGACTCAGAAACAAATCTCGAAACCCAGTGACTTTTGGCAGAAATGCGTCCGGTCCCTGCAGTAGGTTACTGGCGCTGGGCCACCAAAATGGGAATAGGTTTCCTTGCCTTGGCTGTTTCCCGTGGTGGCCTGGTGGTCGCCATCCTCCAGAGGCCACTGGACAGTCAGGCTTGGGCCCACAGTGATGAGACACAAGGGGCCTCATGGGATGGGGGTGGAGCCATCCCTTTTCTCTCAGTCCCAACAAGACTCCGAGTCACCGCCCACGAATGGCCTCCCTGGCTCCTGATCAAGCTTCTTAACAGCCATGATCCTAGAGACTCAGAAACAAATCTCAAAACCCAGTGGCTTTTGGCAGAAATGCGTCTGGTCCCAGCATTAGGTTACTGGCACTGGGCCACCCCAGCTGGGAATAGGTTTCGTAGCTTGGCCAGTTCCCCCTGGTGGCCCAATGGCCGCCATCCTCCAGAGGCCACTAGACAGTCAGGTTTAGGCCCTCAGTGACGAGATACGCAAGGCCTCAGGGGATGGGGGTGGAGCCGGCCCTTTCCTCCCCATCCCAACGAGACCCTGAGTCGCTGCCCATGAGCGGCCTCTCTGGCTCCTGATTAAGCTGCTTAACGGCCATGATCCCAGAGACTCAGAGCAAATCTCAGAACCCAGCAGGTTGGGGCAGAAATCCCTCCAGATTTAATTGTTAAAATTTCAGAATTTCAAAATTGTGCGGCCACTACTGCAGCCACGCGACATCATATGTTATTCATAATCATCAATAGAAAACAAATTGTCTACTGTTGCCTTTTTGGAAGATCTGAGTGTTGGGGTAAAATCCCAAATAATAATGGTGGGTCTGGTGTCAAAATATTGAATGTGATCAAAGTAGAGAGAGAGTAATGTGGAAATCATCTGCCCCACAGGTAGGGGGAGGGTGTGGGATGGGAGTGTACTGGGGGTTTTGGTGGTGGAGAATGGGCACTGGTGAAGGGACGGATGTTTCATTGCATGACCAAGACTTAAGCCCGAAAGCTTTGTAACTGCTCTCACAGTGATTCAATAAATAAAATTACACAAAATGAAAAAAATCATGACTTTGAAGAGAGAAATGCATATTTCTGTTCGTTAGGCCACTAAGTACAACTGCCAGTATATGGAAACAACCCAAACGTCCAATGACAGATGACTAGATCAAGCTGTCACATATCCACAGAATGGAATATTATACAGCTCTAAGAAAAAGTGGAATGAAAATGAAACAATGAAGTTTACTTTAATGTGGACGGGATTGGAAAGTACAGTCTTAAGCAAAATAAGTCAGATGAGGAAGCACCAATACCAGCTGATCTCATTTTCTGTGAAGTATCTGAAAAGAAACAAGATTTTAGATGGCATCAAAGAACGACGAACCCCTGACACCTTGGAGTACAAAACAGATTACAGCAATGGGGGAAGAGGGAGGAAGGAAGATTGGACCAGAGGTGGTAAGGTGGCAGGGTGGCAGGAACTTTGTGCATCTGCATCATAAACTTTAACATTATCTTAACCATGTTGCCTAAACAAGAATAAAACACGTTTAATGTTAAGGGCACCTCCCTTGCCGATGTCTCCTGCTCAGTCTTCTTCCCTGGGGCCGTCAGGAGGGACCTTGCAGGGGTGGGCGGTTGGTGTTTGCCTTCCTGCTCTCACAGCCCGAGAGTCATCTTTACTGTGACAGTCATCTTTGCTGTGGGAGTAAGTGTGTGGGTGGAAAATGAGACCTTTGGAGAGAGCCAGAGGGCTCCGCTTGGAGTAGATCTTCCAGCTACATGGATAGAGATGCATTATGTATCTCATGTAGTCGTGGCCGAGTGGTTAAGGCGATGGACTAGAAATCCATTGGGGTTTCCCCGCGCAGGTTCGAATCCTGCCGACTACGATGCCTTTTGATTGCCCGCACACACCTCCTGACTCATCAGGCTGCTTGATGCACCCCGCCTTTGCAAACCTTCCCCAACCAGCCTAATCGCATGCCCCCTAATGCTTTGAGAGCCCATCTCCCCACAGTGCTCTTGCTCCTTTTCCTCCCCAACAACACCCACCCTCGCCTGGCCCCTTTTCTCTATGGCCTGGGAAGGCGGCCTTTCCTACACCAAAAGCTGGACAGCAGCTTGGACTGTCCTCGTCACCTGCTCCTCTCCAGGCCTGGACACCCTCCTGGGTGAGGAAACCCAGCAAAGCTGAGCTCAGATTCAAGTGCTCTGCTTGCCAAGTCTTCTGTGCACATTGGGTCTGTCTGATCAAGGGACCCAGGAGAGACATGCAGGAAGAGCCATTTTCTTTTTTCTTTCTTTTTTTTTTTTTCAAATGAGTTGAAAATAATGGTGGGTCTGGTGTCAAACTATTGAATGTGATCAAAGTAGGGAGAGAGTAATGTGGAAATCATCTGCCCCCAAGGTAGGGGGAGGGTGTGGGATGGGAGTATACTGGGGGTTTTGGTGGTGGAGAATGGGCACTGGTGAAAGGACGGGTGTTTCATTGTATGACCGAGACTTAAGCCCAAAAGCTTTGTAACTGCTTTCACAGTGATTCAATAAATTTCATCATCCTGTTATTCGGCGATTGCCTCGAGCAGGCCCCAGTAACGTCTCTTTCATCCTAGCCCTGAGATTATATTCAAGGCTCTTTAGGAGAATGAGACCTATCATTGTTAGTGGTATTTGGCATATTTGGTACGCCACGGGGAGTTTGCCAGACTCTGCCCTGTGGGCAGGCTACATTCGATAGCCTGCAAGTTTGTCCAAAGTAGGAATGAGATAATAAGATGTCATAAAAAGATGTCCTGATAAGATGTCACGCGGCCGCAAATGCGGCCGCTCGGTTCCGGGGGCTGGATTTTATAGTCTCTGAGTCTTGGCCGTTGATGGGATTACACGGCACCAGGGGGCCAGGTGGTGGGTGTGACCCCCGCCTACTGGAATTTGGAGGATCTGGGTGGAAGATTCTCGACT